GAGACGTCACAGGGTCCCTTTCTGCATCCAGATGATGCAGCAGTTGCTCCGATCATTCGCATGGCCCGCGCGCCGCCACCCCCCAAACACAAAGCTGCCCTCGATTCGCCCTTGTCTCCAGGGAGACCGACATCAAGGGGCTCCTTCACCAAGGCGGCCTATGAAGACTCCGCTTTTGGTACAATCACCGCCGAGCCAGGTCCGCGGCTTTTAACTGCGAATAGTGTCGCCTCGTCCGGATCCAAGAAAAGCCTCAAACGCCAAGTCAGCATTTTAAAGCGAGTATCGCGAGAGTTTCCCAGCGAGAAAGAGCGGCAGCTGGATCGATTGCGCAAAACGAGCAGCTTCAACGACGGGTTTCGACAAAATACACCGCGTAATAGGGCGAGTGTACGCTCTCTGCATTCCATGGCCGACGTGGTTGAAGAAGGACGTGCCCCGCCACTTCGATCCCCAACTGAGACCACTACCGACTCTTCACTTAGCAGACCTCCCAGCAAGGAACGCAACTCATTGCAGGGCAACCAAGAGAGTACGCCCAATACTCCAGGTGGCATTGGGAGCGGGCGCAATATCCCCACCCGCGAATCATCGTTGCGACATAGTTTCTCTTTGAGCTCCAAGCACCGAAGATCTTCTACTCGCCATAGCCGGTATTCATCTACCAGTAGCAGAGAGATGAAAGTGGACAGTGCCGTTTCAGGGGTGGGCAGTGATTCGGATCAGGTGACGAAGAGAATCCAAGAGTTAAAGGACCAGCAACAGAAGATCAAGACCGAGCTAGAATTAGATGACGCCTCCCTGAACTCACCTAAAGAGCCCATTGCCAAAGATGCGCAGCCGTTGGCCTCTGCGGGACTTGGTGGAACTACCGATCTACAACAAGCGGGGCATATATCTCGCTTCAGCTTTGACGAGAGCGCTCCAGCTCCAGCAGTTTTAACGGGCAAAAGCCGCTCTGCAACCTCCACCAGTCCCCCATTCACCTCTAGATCAACCACTACATCCATCCATTCGTTCGACAAACATGACCCATCTGAGAAAATGACGCACAGGCATATGGCCGACTCACCGTCTCCCTTCCGTCATACTCGATCTTTATCGAGCGCGAGTTCCCCTACAGCTTATACCGCCGTAGAAGAGCGCCCGTCCAGCGCTGACTCCATCGACCTTGCAGTTCAAGGCTATGTGACGGCCGCTAAGCTGACCCAGAGGGTCATTCACCCCACGTCAGGCCGCTCTATAGCATTTTCAGAGGTTGGAGACCCTAATGGTCATGTGGTTCTTTGCTGCCTCGGCATGGGGTTGACGAGGTATCTGATGGCCTTTTATGACGAGCTGGCAAGGTCTCTCAAGCTTCGCCTGGTCACTTTGGATCGTCCTGGAGTCGGTGAAAGCGCACCTTACATCAACGAACCGGCAACCCCTCTTAGTTGGCCTGGTGAGTGCTATGTACCGATCACGCCGTGAGCGTTCTCTTTTCCACGAGAAGGGCCGACTGACATGGATTAGATGATGTTGCGATAGTATGTAATCATCTCAGAGTAACAAAGTTCTCGATCATGGCACACTCCGCTGGAGCTATCTATGCGCTAGCTACCGCTTTGAGAATCCCACAGCATATTCGAGGGAGAATTCATCTGCTAGCTCCGTGGATCCCTCCTTCACAGTTATCAAGCTTTGGCTCATTGAAGGCCCCAGTTCCGACCAATGCCGTCCCTTACACCCAACGCATTCTCCGAGCGCTCCCGACATCGATCCTTAAGGTCGCGAACTCCAGCTTCATGAGCGCAGCAAGTGCGAGTCTCACCTCCAGTCTCCCAAGATCTCCTCGGCGAGCCAAGCGCAAAGCGCTACAGAGAGACATCTTAAGCTCCGCTGTTATCGAGCTCAGCAAGCCCCAACAGCTTCCAGGGAAGGTTCACCAGCAAGGCGGTCTGAAAGGCCTTGAGAATAAGAAGCCTACGCCCATAGTCGTAGGAGCAGGCCATCCCATTGACAAACATCTATCGAACCAGGCCGCACTTGCTGCATCTCAAGATCGTGAACGGCAGGTGGATTACGATAATCGGCTCACCCACAGGATCTGGGAATTAGCAACGACCAACGCAAACCCGGCGGTGGACTTACTGGTGTGCTTGGAACGTCGTCAACCTATTGGATTCCGCTATGTGGACATCACTCGGAATGTGGTGATCCACCATGGTAGCAGAGATACTCGCGTTCCCGTCGACAATGTCAAGTGGCTGGGGAAGACTATGCGGCGCTGCGAAGTTCGTGTGCTTGAAGGAGAAGGGCACGGATTGATGGCCTCAGCTACGGTGATGGGCAACGTGCTGATGGAAATTGCCAAGGAGTGGGAGGATTGGATGGTTGTGGTCCAAGGCAAGCGTAGAGGGACTATTGGGACGCGCTCAGGCATCGCAGTTCAAGCATGATGATGGCTTGGGTCCTTACCAACTTCCTGGATCTTTGTTATGATCCCCATGACAAATCGCGCGACAAAGGAGAAGTAAACGAAGGCCAGTCAAACGGAGGAGAAACGTTGCGCTTTTCGGACGAGGATCATCACCACCACAATACCCGTCAATTGCTCAGTCGAACCGCTGCAGGGTCTGCGGGATGACGAAGCGGCCTTATCTTACCATGTCAGTCCAGATCTATATTGGTTCTGATCTGCACCCGTGAGTTGTTTGCATCTACCTACATGCCCTCACATATGTTGGTGTCTCAAGAAAGACATCACGTAACGCTTTGATTGAATGTTTTCTTTTATTGTTGTAACCATGATACCACTCAGCTACATACCCCGGATATAGCATAGCATGACTATTTCATAATATAATTCATAATTCAGCATAACTCAGGTTAGAATTGATGGGACTCGCCATGAAGAAACAATACTTGCTCCGTTCTTGCCGTGTTCACATGAGTAAAGAGTAGGCTCGGAGGCTCCCGTCCGAGCGCCGCGCCGGCGAGGCCGGAGTTTGTCTTTGCCAGTTGCCTCGACTCTTCCCCACTCCTTATGGGACCTTTCCCCCCTTACACTAGGAGAAACCTCTTGACATTTCAGGTTATTCGGTCGCGCGTATTTTTAGATCTCTCACTGATAGCATTGTCTATTAGTATTGACTTTGCCACCTGTTTCCAATCTTGCTCCATCTTCTTCAGGAATCTCTAACCTCTCGCTCTCGCCCAATGTCCAGCCATTGTTGGTCTTGGAGCTGCATCTATGACTTGTCGGCTCGACACATCGACTGTTAAACCATCCCAGCACTGATGCGCACAGTAGCTCGTTGACTCGACAGCAAGCATTCTCCTCACAGCTGGACATATATTCTACTCGTGATTATCGATCGCGTCGCTGTCAGATTCCCCTGCCGACTTACCATTGTACAATCCGCCTCAGGATGTTCTCTCAACGGCGCATGAGACTTTTGGTCATTGCCGTGCTGGTGATCCTCGGCGTGGCCTGGTACTACTCGGTATAATTCCTTTTCCCTTTCGTGGGCGCAATTGCCTCTAAGATAGCGAAGTTGACTAACGCAACGCGCGCCTCTAGAGCGACGCCCGGAGTGTCCAGAATCAGCAATTCTATCGCTCCACCGTGGCGGCCATGAATGCCCAAAAGCAGGCCAAGGAAGCCCAGGCCGCAGCAGCCAACATCCCCGCCCCGAACCGCAACCCCATCAAGGAAGATTTGAAGCATCCCATGACCGATGATAAGATCGCACCGGCGATCCCCAAGGCCAACCCGGCAGACCACCTGGAAGAGATCCCGATCGCGGGACGGACTAAGATGACCGTGTCGAAGAAACCGGAGGAGGAGAAGGAGGGGCTGGAGGAGAAGCAGCAGTCGCAGCAGCCGCAGCAACAGCAACAGCAAGAACAACCAAAGCAGCAGGAGTCTAAGCCGCAGCAGGTCGAGGCAGAGGACGACGCCGAGGCGGAAGCGCATGCGCATGCAGTGGCCGAGTTGAATGATATCCTGAAACGGGCTCCGAGTATGTGGTTTCCCCCTTCGCCCTCTGATATGCGCAGGAGATGGATTACTGATGTGCTATGTCTTTTTTTCTCAATGCAGTCATCATCTTCTCTAAATCGTACTGCCCTTACAGCGCCAAAGCTAAGTCCATTCTGCTGGATCATTACTCCATCACCCCTGCGCCTTTCGTCGTGGAATTGGATCAGCATCCCCATGGCCGGATGTTGCAGGCCGTGTTGGCCGAGACTACTGGTCGTCGGACTGTCCCTAATGTGTTGGTCAATGGCAAGAGTATTGGGGGTGGTGACGACGTGACGGCCCTCGACGGGCGCGACGAATTGACATCAACCTTGAGGGACCTGGGTGGTAAGTGGGTCCAAGAAGTCCACCGTAAGGACTCAAGCGACTAGATTTGTTTTGGCGAACTGGAAAGCTATTTGTCGATTTGACTCAGGCATCTGGACTCGATCTATTTACGGTATGCATGCATTGGGGATTGTGTGTTTCACATTCCGTATTGGTTATCGCTGCCAGACAGGTCATGGTTACAGACCGATTTGAGGATTCTTTACGGAAAAAGCTCATAAGGACTTTTATGCATTTCATTCTGCGTACATAATTGGGATCATGTGATAATTAATAGGAAATGATTAATCGTAATTGGGTAGCTTGGTGCCAGTGTGTACGTTCAAGAGACCAATTCTACAGCGAGAGCTGTACTGACAGCTTCCATCCATTTGAAGGACCAAAATTCGAGTTATGAGTACGGAGTACAACTGCAATGAATCAAAATCAATGTTTAAGCTTGAAAAGATACTGTACTTCGGTGCGGCCGACTGATAAGGATAAGCAGTCACAGACCAGTTCCATTGTTGCTGTTCTGCCGGGCGGGAGCAATTGCACTAAGCCCGAAGTGGGCAACCCTAGGCGGGAAGACCTAAACCAGATTGAGCCGTAAGCGACGCACAACCCGTGATTTTCGCTCCACCACTGTCGACTCTGGTCTGCCTTGAGGAATTTCGATCCTTTCGACGACCGACCGCACGACGATATCGACAATTCCCCCCTCGGACACACCACAGCCCACGCAGTCAAGATGCGGTACATTCACTCCGAGGAAACGCTGCCCGTCCCCGAGAATGGTGAGCAAATTCGATTTATTCCTGAGCATTCTCCTGAATGCTCGACTCCGCTGGTTTCGCAAAAGTCCGCTGGTTTCGCAAGAGGTGGGAAGAGGAAGGACACCCCCGGAGGGACAGGCATGGAGAGGATGATGCATTGAGGGATAAAGCCAGGGAAAAGAGGAACAGTGATGTGCGCCCACCCGACTCAACTACGAATCAGTCAATGCAGGAGAGGATGAAGAAGAGTCAAGAGGAGGAACCAATGCATATATCAGAATGCCTGTCTCTCCGCGGCGGGAAGGGAATCAGACGATACAGACTTGCGCGACTATTTCTATGTGTTTGTGTGAAAGAACTGGGGCTGATACAATTTGCGTCGTACAGTGAAGGTTCACATTCGCTCTCGCGTTGTGACCGTCGAGGGACCCCGAGGTATGCAATTTACCACTCCACCAACAAACACGCACATCCTCAACAATGGGCTCGGACCAGACAGACCTTCTACAGCGCTGGCTTGGATGCTTCTGGGCCCGTTCGTCGTGCCGTGCGACTGCCAGCGGCCGCTAACATGAGTTTTTTTCCGCTCTCCTTCAGGCAAGCTCGTTAAGGACCTTTCTCACATCGCCGTCACCTTCGGCCGCCCCGAGAAGAATGTCATCAGCATTCAGCTGCACCACGGTGCTCGCAAGGGTATCGCCACCCTCCGCACCGTCCGCACCCTCATCAACAACTTGATCATCGGTGTCACCAAGGGCTTCAAGTACAAGATGCGTTACGTCTACGCTCACTTTCCCATCAACGTCAACCTTGAGAAGAACGCCGAGACCGGCCAGGTCGAAGTTGAGATCCGGTATGGCACTATCACCTTTTTGCGACATTGCGGCGAGTCACTGGGCTGGTTGGATTGAGATGGTGGACTTTTGCTCCAACTAGTCCTGGGGCCAATGCTGTGTCGCTTGTCGCTGTATGCGTATTGAAGGAATCTTCTGACTGACGGATTCCTTTTTAGTAACTTCTTGGGTGAGAAGTACGTCCGCCGCGTGACTGCCCAGCCCGGTGTTGAGATCGCCGTCTCCACCAACGTCAAGGATGAGCTCGTCCTCTCCGGTAACTCCCTTGAGGGTGTCTCCCAGAGCGCTGCCGACATCCAGCAGATCTGCAGAGTCCGCAACAAGGATATCCGTAAGGTGAGTTTGGAGCAGCAGGCTCTTAGCCCTATCCGAAGTAGCGCGATCTCCCTACTAACCCTTCTTGCTTCCTAGTTCCTTGACGGTCTGTACGTGTCGGAGCGGGGTAACATTGTCGAGGAGTAAGCGGTTGGAAATGTCCGCCTTGGTGGGTAGTGAAGGAATGTTCGAAGAATACATTTTCGCCTACTTGCATAGGGAAGCAACGCGAAATTTAAAACCCAAAATTATGGAATTTCAAATGCCCAGTTAACGTGTCCACGGGGTTTGTCTGGCATTTGCTTACTCCGCTGGCGAAGCGTGGCGTGTAGAGAGACTCGAAAACTTGGTTGGCCTTTTTTTTTCTTCTAATCTTTTGGTCTCGCCTTCTGCTGTCTCGAGGAGAGTGCAATCCCCCATTTGGGTGACTCTCGCCTAGGCTCGTATGTAGTTCGGCCATAGAATGTTCTAATTCATGTACCCCAATTCTCCACGACATCTTCTCCTTGGCCAATGCAGGTTCTTTTTACCCCGTGTTTTGCAAGCATCTCCACCGTGACTGTTGTTGGGCCATTGGATCACAGGCCATTGGATCACAACACACGCCCTACTGGAAGTATGGAGGCTTTGCATTTGCATATGAATCCTGAGCTCGAGAATATCTTTTATTGTAATTTCAGCCTTGTAGTATCACCCCCTGTCAGTGGTGGCGGTGGTGGTTAGAAAGTGTGGATATATATATAGTAGCACCGTTTGCGGGGAGTAATTAACTAACTTATACCAAGTATGTCATCATCCCGCCAAAGTCAATCAATTCCTCTGTGCTTCTCACTCCCAACATCTCTTCTTTTTCCTCGCGACAAGATTCGACCTTATTGTACGAAATCAAAGGCATTGAATGCACCGGCTCTGGCTCCGATCAAGAATCCCTGCTTCTTTTCCTTGCTGAGCTGCTAACTTGTCTATCCTCCTGACCTCGTCGGAGATCAAGCATGTGAAAGCACCAGTTAGGCGTTTTGTCTCGACATGTGCCGTCATTCTTCCCCCTCTCGATTGACCTGCCAGTGATAAAATCTCCCCTACCCTCCCCTTTCATTCACCATGGCATCTTGGGCGGTGATCTACGAGTTGTTCGCTGCCATCTTCAGTATGATCCTAGACGTCGCACAGTTCTGGCAACAGGTAGGCTATTCAATGTCTTCTCACCCATGGTCGGCATCATAGTCTCTCAAACCAGCACCAATCCCATCGGGTGTGCTTGATCAATCCCCATAATACTCCATTGGAATTTTCTGCTCTAAAATTGATTAGACTGACGTTCTCCGCCTAGAGGTTATTATCCTGGTGGAATACACGGTCTCCCCGGAACCGACTGCGCGATGCGCTCGCTACTGCAACAACCTACGAGGAATGGGAAGAAGCCGCCTTCGACCTAGACGAAATCCTCAGTAAGGATCTTTGGTAACTCGCTCCACTTTAGCCTGCGCACGGAGGTTAGTCACTGACAGCGTATAATAGGCGCCAGAACCCCACCAGCCGCCATTACGATTACCGCTTGATCCTGGGGAGATTAGAGGCTCTCATGAGTGCTCGCGAAGGCGAGGATATCCTGACGCTGGTCAATCTACTCCGATCCGGACTGCTTCGCAATCTAGGCAACATCACGTCACCGAAGCTGTTCACACAGGCGTACGCGGGGACCAAGCTTCTGATCGATGACTATATCACCCAGGTGGCACTGTCCATTCAGCAGGTGACGGCGCTTCCCACCGCCCCGGTCCACATCAGTGGATTTGGAGCGCAGGCGAAGCTCGAGCTGCTGCATGACACTCGACAGGCCTTTGGACGGACAACGCTTCTGCTCCAAGGCGGATCGATCTTCGGGCTATGTCACCTCGGCGTTGTCAAGGCTCTTCATCTACGAGGCCTTCTGCCTCGGATTATCATCGGGACCGCGACGGGCGCCCTGATCGCCGCCCTGGTTGGGGTGCATACGGAGGATGAGCTGTTGACCTTCCTCGACAGCGATGGCATCGATCTGAGCGCCTTCGATCGGCGTCGGAGGGCCAAAGACGCCTCCTCCGAAACCCAATGGCTGCCGTTCGACATCGGCGATAACTGGGCGGGGACCCTGTTCCGGCGCATCAAGCGATACATTCAGAAGGGCTATTTTCTTGACGCCGAAGTCTTGGAGGAATGCGTGCGGGCCAACCTAGGAGACTTGACGTTCGAAGAAGCATATGCCCGATCGAAGCGCATCCTCAACATCACTGTCGCGACATCCAACACTAACGCAACGCCGAATCTCCTCAACTATCTCACCGCACCAAACGTGGTACGTACCCGCAACATCCCACCCAGCTCACTTGATTATTTGGGAGTATGGAAAAGCTAACAAGAAGGTTCGCCCAGCTCATCTGGTCCGCCGCCGTAGCCTCCAACGCCTCCAACACCTCCCTCTACCGCCCCGTCACCATCTACTGCAAGGACGAGACGGGCTCGATCGTCCCGTGGCCGCACTCGCAGGACGCGACCTTCGCCTCCTGGCGCCATGTGCAGTACAGCGAGGGCGAGTCGCCGCTCTCGCGGATCGCCGAGCTGTTCAACGTCAACCACTTCATCGTCTCGCAGGCGCGGCCCTACCTCATCCCGTTCCTCCGCTCCGACGGCGGCACCCTCCTCATCCGCCGGCCCGGCGACCACCCCAACCCCCCGATCCGCTACTTCACCCGCCTCGTCATGGGCGAGGTGCGCCACCGCCTCCGCCAACTCGACTACATGGGCCTCCTCCCCACGCCGCTGGCCCGCCTGCTCCTCGAGGAATCCATCCCCGGCCCCAGCATCACCCTCGTTCCCGACCTGACCCTCCGCGACTTCACCAAGATCTTCGAGAACCCCAGCAAGGAGAGCCTGGCGCACTGGTCGCGCAAGGGCGAGCGCGGCGTCTGGCCCGCCGTGAGCGCCTTGAAGGTCCGTTGCGCCATCGAGATCGAGCTGGACAAAGGGTACCAGGTCGTGCGGCGGCGCAGACCCGCGGAGATGCTTGGCGGTGGTGGGAGTGGGAGTGGGAGTGGCAGCGGGAGTGGGACGACCACCATCCTGCGTAGACCTTCGGGCCCGAACGAGGGCCAGCCCCGGCGACGGCGCGGGCACAGCAACAGTATCGATTCCGGGCACGAGAACTCGGCGACGAGTTCAAGAGTCGGGGAGCTGGAATACCAGGGAGCTGGAATACCGGGATGATTCGACTTCTTAGGTTGAGTTCACTTATTGGTTGGCTTTGGAGGAGAGGTAGATTCGCCGTTGGGCATTGCATGTATCCTGTATCATGTACTGTACTCCAATGCATGATTTGGTTGGATGATAGAGATGGATGTAGGATTGAGGGCGGGCGGTGCGTTGCGGTTCGAACCTTGAAGCCCTTTTGGTTCATAATGTCACTCGAAGGATCAATACACTCACTCTACTGCTCCTTGCGTGCTTGCATAGAATAAGCTCAGTACACTACTGATCCAACTCCCGTTCTGTTGCAGTGGCTGGTGTATGGTCCACGAGAGACACCCTCACCCCTACTTCTGGCAAGCAGACCAATCTATCCCCCATCCATAAAAAAGATGAAAACATGACAACATGTATTTTTCAGGTTATGCATACGCTGAATGGATTTCCAATATTCAAAGAAGAACAAACCGTAACTCCAAAACCAGACCCAATCTCTATCGATCTATATCTTTTTCTTTTTCATCGCATCGCATATTCCCTTTTGGTGGTGTGGTTGAGGCGGAATCGCATGGCCTGGATACCTACCTACCACCCCTCTAACCAAACCAAATCAAATCGAACCAGACCCCAAGCGCAAACCTCCTGCATCTATAGTTCTGAAGCTAGGAGATAGTCTGGAGTTCCGACGAGCGGAGCCCGGTCGATTCCAGGGGGGGACCTTTATACACTATTCACCCACAGGTTAGACCAATCGGGGTTGGAGATGTGGAAGCTTTACTGCGCAGGGAGAGAATAGATTTCGTTCAGGCGGGCGCGGGGGAGGCTGGGGTTTGGGTCGGGGGAATGGGAAGAACGAACCCTTACGTCCATATACACCGTACCACGCGAACGCTAACCCCCACAGCCCCACCAGCACGACGGCGGCGTAGTTCATCGACGAGGGCGTGACCGGCAGCGCCGTCGGGAGGCTGAACAGCACCAGGCCAAACGCAATCCACGCCAGGGAGAGCACGTTGACGACGGGGCCCAGCAGCGGGCCGCAGGTCCAGGGCGCGCGGGCGACCTCGGTGCGGCGGTGCATCAGGCTCAGGGCGATGGGGATGGCGTAGGCGACGGAGAGGGCGATGGTGCTGACGGAGACGAAGGCGGTGAAGGTGCTGGTGCTGCCGAGGTTGATGAGCCCCAGGAGCAGCTGGAGGATGGTGCCGCCGAGGAGGGCGTTGAAGGGGACGCTGTCGGGGTTGTTCTTGTGGGAGCCGCTGTCTGATGACGATGACGACGAGGCCGAGGCGGTGGCGAAGAAGGCGTAGGGGTCGTGGACGCGAGCCCAGAAGCGTGAGCAGGGGACGGCGTTGTCGCGCGCAAAGGCGTAAACCGCCCGTGAGCCGGCCACGGTCGCGCTGATCGACCCGAAGAGGGTCAGGCTGAGGACCAGGCTCGTCAGCGCCAGTCCCCCCGCGGCGGTGCCCATGACCCGGTGGAAGATGTACGGGAGCGCTTGACCAGCAGGCGCGGCGAGGATCTCGTCCATCGGGGGCAGCGTGAAGCAGATCGGGAGGATAAACAGCAGGCCGGCCAGCCCGAGCACGGGGATGTTGAGACTGAGGACTTGGGGGACGATGCGCGCCGGCGCGACGCATTCCTCGGCCATCGAGGTCACCAGCCCGATGCCGCAGAAGGTGTACGCGGCCGGGAGGAGGCCGATGAAGAACGTGAAGCCGCCCCAGCCGGAGAAGTGCGTGTCGTAGTGGCCCAGGGCATACGCCGCTGTGTGGCGGCCGGTCGCGGCCGTGGTGGATAGGGCCACCAGCACCACGATGATGGTCAGCGCCGTGGTCACCGTGCAGAGGAAGTCGATGTGAGGAAGGAATCGGTTGCCGAAGGTGCAGACCAGGAAAGTGCCGACGCAGACGGCGTAGAAGATCAGCAGGAGCTCCCAGCTGTTCGGGTCCCAGCTGGGACGGACCAAGGAGATCGAGGCCGACAGCATGGATGCGAAGCCGAAGTTGGTCGAGAGGATGGCCGTCCAGTTGCCGATGATCCACACCCAGCCGGTGAGGAAGGAGATGATGGCTTTGTGATCGCGCGCGATCTGATGCGACCAGTAGTAGGGCCCCGCGGACGTCGGGTATCGCGACACGAGCTCGGCGAGAGATAGGGCGACGCATTGGTATAGGACGCAGACGACGATCCAGCCGACAATAATTGACATCGGCCCGCCGCCGTAGATGGCTCCCATGAGAGGACCTCCTTCGCCGTAGGGAATCGCGGCCATCGCAAGCGATTGAAAGAGCAGTGTGTTCAGGGAACGGTTGCGACGAAGCTCCTGCTTGTAGCCGAGGATATCGAGTCGGTCATCGTCGGAGTTGCTATCTGCGCCGTGCTCTGCGACCTTGTCCTGAGAGGCATCTTGCGATGCTGCCGTCTTCTTGGTTCCCATCGTTGCGGTGCCCGTGATGCGTGATTCTTCTCGCAAGATGCGAAGAACACTCGGTCCTCTGGCTCGGTTCTTTTCAGGATATCCATAGCCCTTGGATTTGCCCCTTGAGCTGAGTAAAGTCGCCGTACTGGGATAACCCTTGCAGGGCTGAATAGGAGGCAACGATCTCGATGTGACACGGAAGGCGAAATTCCCCATTACGTTCGCTATGTGGTGCCGCTCGTGATATCTCTGCACTCCACCGGCCGCCCTTGCATAAGTTCCATGCCTCAAATACCGAAAAGCACTCGCAACCTGTAGCTTAGCTGCAGCGAGAATTGGGATTGGTCGAACACTTGAGATAAGCTGCAGTCCAAGACGAATGTATTTGCTTCTGCCTGGTTTTCATGCGGTCTGGCTTTCACCTGTTTCCATGATTTTAGGCTCTGATCTCAGCTGCAGAATTCCGAGGCACTCGAAGAGAGAGCTCTTCAATCTTGGCAGGCGGGGTTCCTTGTGCATGGCAAAACCTGGAATGGCTCGTGGAGATCATGACGTCTGTTGTAGTCCATCAGAGAACGTGCGAAGACGAATAATGGGCAAAGTCTGCTATAGAGTATGGCAAAATGAGCCAGCCACTATGGCACTATATTGCTTTCGGAAAGCGAGGGGAGTCAAAACCTGGGGATGAATCAATGACCTCAAACTGTAAAGTGAATGAACATGAAAGATGAAAGACTGTCATCATGAATATTCAAAATTCTGGTATTCGAAAGTAGAAAGGTAATGATTAAAATGCATACATCGGGGAATCAAGAAAGAGGACCAGACGAAGCGGAGCAACAACTATCCTACATCAACACTCAGCTATAAGGTAGGCCCACCATGGTGGATAAAAAGCACAGGAAGGGGAACGGGCCAAAGTATTCCAAGTATCTCGCATGATTCACGCAAAGGGCAATTCAGCGATCAATTGGCGGTTTGAGGCCGTGCAGACTGCCGTGAAGGAGGACGGAGGGATTGAGGCCGCAATGAGCGAGCGCGAGAAGTGGGGCGAGAAACGTCTTTCGAAGGGTCGTAGGCCAATGCGGGAACTGGTGACCTGTCAGCAAGACCATTCAGGGTCGATTTGGCGATTCTACTAGACAAACTTACTGCTAAAGCCGTAACCATCGGTAGCCCCTTCTCTGTTCTGTGGGTCAATCTCGACTCGGATCGTAATGTCCAATCCTCCGGGCATGCTGCCACTACTAGTATACCCGTCTGCCGCGGGATGACTAGAGCCTGCGTCAGCTTCACCCTGGTGAAGAGGTGAATGACCATCTTTGGCCAAAGGAAACGAAGAGGCCTGCTCATTCGGAGCCACTGGAGTGTTTCCATTAGTGTAGAGGGGTTCGATCTCAGTGATGCAGGCGAAGTTTCGCGAAGGCATCGTGACCTTATTCCACGCGGCGCTCTTCTCCTGCCCACCAGGCTGTCGATCAAACATGACCATCAATGTCTCATCCGTGTGGGGATCCAGATGATGAAGCTTGTTTCTACGTGCCAAGAGATTGGCCACGGCCTTGGGAGGAGGTTTGTTCGTAATCGCACTGCTAATAACATTGACCATATACCGTGGATCGAGTTCGCTGTGAAGGTTGAGGGCCGGGTTGGAGTAAAACCGACCGATGGCTGCCAGATGCACATCTCCGCCCAGAATCGTCACACGAATGGAGTGAGCCTTAGCAAAGTCCTGTAGACGTTGAATGAAAATCCTTCGTTCCTTCTTGTGTTGGCGTGCGGTGTAGTGATCATCCAAGTCATCCAACAGGTCAACTTGACCGTCAAACTGATTGAATAGACCACCTGCAAAGCCAAACCGCTTATTCAACAAGCGGATTGGCGCGATCAGAGGAGAGCTCAGGATATTTTCCAACCATGCGAGTCGGGGGTATGCGATTGGAACTCCCAGTAGCACAATCAGGTGTTTTATGCCCCCCTCGGCCGCTAAGACTTCAGCTTCGAGGCGGGAGAAAATGAGATCATATGTGTCGGGGTAGTTCACCTGGTGCCGCGTGCGCTCAGTCCGCGCATCAACGCCAATGAACGCAAACCGCTTGCCGAGACGCATGTAAAGGTTTCGACTCTTCTCTTCGACGTAGGGACCGGGGCGATTACCAACAATCCAACTATCGTCTTCCGACTGGCCCTCTAACACGTAGGTGTTCTCCAGCTGTCTCGGATCGGCACCGGCAGTTCCGTTGACAGCATGCATTGTTTGCGGAGCATCTGTGGTGTACGTCGATTTGGGCGGCGCGATATGATGCTGGAACAAGCAGTAATACTTGAACGCCACGCCGCCAATCCCACGAAACACGGAGCAGCGCATGAAATGATCTGTGTACGAACCAAAGCCGTCAATGATGTCATGGTCATCCCAAATATTGATCTGTGGGATCCGGCCATTTGCGGCTTTGAATGGCTCGATGGAATACCATCTGACATAGTTTGCATAGTAGTATTCATCGCATTGGGCTCGCAAGTCGTTGTCAAAGGAATGCGCCCGTCTCTTGTGAGGGTTTGCGATGGTTGTCCACGCCTTTAGGGGTCCATCAACGCGGATTCCATCGCAGTACAACTGGTCACCACCACCAATCATGGCATGGAAGGGCTTCTGGCCATGCACGCGCATAACGTCTTTCCACAAATTGGGGCCAACCCAAGCGTTCATATCGGTGCCGACGGAAAAGCCATTGCAAGAATGGAACATCAGACGCATCGACTGGTGGACCGATGGCACTACAAAGTCCCAAGGCGGAGGAAGCTCTTCGCCATTTGCGTACTGGAACCCCGGGATGGTGTATTCCCAGCGTGCTTCGTACTCTTCTAAGGCGATGGCGATTGAAAATCTCCAGAATGCTTTCTCGGGATCTTCATATAGACGAAGTCCATCAGCCACAAAACGTTGGGAATTGGGTTGAGTACGAGAAGCTCGGCCGCTGCTATCAACCGGGCCCGCTTGGCGCATCACCAGCTGAGGCTGGCTCTGCCCAGACTTAGTCACAATCAGAATGCTTCCTCGCCATACGGAGGAGGAAGCAGTGACATCCATATTCTTGAAGTTAATTAGGGGGCCGCAGATGACGTCCACGGATGTGCTGGAAGCCGTAGAGTGGCCATTGACAGCAGGAGCTGCACCATTGGCTAGTATAACAGCATTAGTATTGAAGCGCGTGTCGGGCAGTGTTGAAGGTGGGAACTTACTTTGGAAGGCCATCGTGAGGTCACGGGCCGGACGGGGTAATACCAAAGATACCAGAGTTCAAGAGTTTGGTCAACACGCTAAGCAGCAAGGGGATAATTTCTGAAAATAGGTAATAAATATTAAAGAAAAAAAAAACAAGTGGGATAAATCAGTGTATCATATGGTGATTACAGATTAGAGGGAGGTTGCGACGAGTTGTGCAGACGGGGTAAGTATCGATAACCTGCCAGGATAGTTCTCAAGTATGGAAGGAGATAAAAGAGAGTGACAGAAGAGGTTGACCCAGAAAGAGGGATTAGACGATTAATAACAACTGCGCGCAGGACAGGGAGACCTGGATTCCGGTGTAAATCGGATCCCCTGGAAGATGTCAAGGGGGGAGGTGGGATACGGGGCGGGGGAGGTGGTAGAAAGAACGAAGATTGGATCCCAAATAAGGCCAGTAGTATCGCGTCCCGGAAGGTCAAGAAGATGATTAGTATGGAGGAGAGCAAAGATCAAAAGGAGCGGCGACAGGTAGCATTAAGGCACCAGTCATTCAGTTTGTTTGAGGATCTGAGTACTGAGCAGCACAACAGAATCAATCAGTAGGGCTGCAGGGCTGAGAAACTTAGGAAGGGAGGGGGGGGGAGGAAAAGAGAGAGAGACAGAAAGTAAGAGGGACAACAGCGAGACCATCATTCACTCTTGACTTTCCCTATGGGAGGCCAAGAGACCAAGACGGAGAGGGCCCCCATCCTTGCACGGGTCATTATCATTTTTTTCATGTTCCTGGTTATTGGCTTGTCGGTTCTGGTGACTAGCAGCATCTTGGCAGCATCAGCAGCATCAGTTTAGCATCAGCGGCAGCATCATCGGCCTCACGATCATCCTAGCCGCAACCACGGTATTAACCGAAAATCATTTCCAACATTTGAGTTTGTTCGTGTCTTTCGTACTGTTCGTACCAGTGATCGGTGATCAGTTATAACCGAGGGTGGGTTTCCGTCTGGGAACCGATCTGATCCAGTCTTTGAGAGAATGGGAATGGAATGGAATGCAGCGCTGTATACTGAGCCTGATTGGGCCAGGACTGATGACGCCGAGACCGACTACTTACTCATCAGCCCCACGTCTCAGCCACATTCGGTTCCAGTCTGTGGCTGTGGATCGCAATCTCCCCCCCCCCTACTTGCATGTACGGTCTGTAACTTATACTCCTCGTTATGCGGTGGCCTAATCTGCTACTTGCTGCCCTAATCAGTTCGTGCCTATCGTTTTAGTCAGGTCCTTGAGCAAGAAAAGGCGATCTATCGACTCGTCCTGTATGCGGACTGAGGAATGCTCATACCCAGCTTGTCCACTCGAACTGAGAGTATGAGAGGCATTAGTGCATGTGCTTCTCCATAGGTTCTCAGATCCTCATGTGTTTACTTACAAGAAAGCAATAAGTGATACTGTACTTACTATGTACATGTACATGGGTGTAGTACTACGTATCCCAGGTTAGGTGAGGTAGGAAAGGCTGCTTTCCTAAATAGGTAATCACCATCCTTCCGCTCCGCCCTCGGCCGTCCAACTAACCACCGGGAACCACATTTCCTCCCCTCTACTACCATCGACTCCATCATCCGGAACCGATGCCTCTTACAAGAATGCTACGTGCACAAATGCCCTGTCGTCACCAATCCTACAATCAGCACAATCCTGCTCTGAACCTAATGTATGACATTGTCTACCCTAGACCATCTGATGGAACACGATCTACCCTCCACATGAAGCAGGCATTACACGAGCATTGGACATCATCAGAGTCATATCATCACATCAATCATATCTCATCAGTGCTAGGGAATCATTCCATTCATCTCCTAGTCATCTAAGCAACTTTTCTTTTTCTCTCTTTTTCGTCTGGTGCATCCAGATTCTTATCTCCACCCTCTTTCCATTCATTCTCCATTCACTTGCTCGCTCAGCACCTGCCTCGTCTTCTACCTAAAACTGAAAGCAAAGCTCAATTCCCCAGGGGCATGAAACCAAAGGACTCGGACTGTTCCAGTTATTGGGGAGATTCAAAGACTCTAGGCCAAGGCACCAGCTTCCTTCCCCAAGGGTCATAGATCATGAACAGATCGCCGGCGATCTGAACGGGTGGGGTGGCCAACGGGGGTTTGCGTCCGTGGCGGAACAGTGGGTAAAATGCTGTCGGACATGCTGCTCGTTTGCCCAGGGCTTGCCTAGGGCTCAAGCGGATGATGTGTGGTGGGTAATGGGGCATGGGGCGTGGGGGTCGGGGGTATCAAGTATGTAAGGACGACAACTCATTGCATCTCTCCCAGCTGAACTCCTGCAATCAAGGAACAATTCAAGAAGACTTCTTGATGTCGAGTGAGATTTCGCAAAAGAAAAGAAAAGAGCCGAAGCAATCAGAAGACGTGGAAACGAAGCGAAAAAAATCAGTGAAAAAAAAGGACTAAGACAAGACGGAAACTCCGAGCCAAGGAAAAATATCAAACTCTGACAAAAATGGTGAGGGGTCATCAAGGAATACCAGAAGACCAGACGGATCCAGGGCCCTAGAAGATATTGTTGAAAAAGGCAAAGCGGCAGCCACCAGTCATCGATCGGGTTACAGAGATATTTCCAGGTCCTTGGTGTACTCCAGTCTCGCTAATCAATGACTGGGCTAGGTAGAAGATGACGAGCGCTCGAAGCGTCAGCTTGGGACGAATCGACAACCAATTTCCAGAAGTCGCCGTTGAGCGGAGAATCCGGCAACTGGGCCAGATGTTCCGCTGGCTGCTGTTGCATGGACACCCCCATTCTCATCAAAAGCTCGCAAAAGTGGCTGCGGTTTGTGGGGCTATCCAGTTCAGGGTAGTCCAATGTGAGATATGCGAGACGACGGGCAAGCCACTCTATTGAGACGTTGTGATGATCATCACTCTCGCCTTCGTTCGACACGAGATTGTCCAGGCACTGGCTAGCGGCGCAGTCCAGCAGGTGGTGCGCCTGCTCCCGTCCGATCATGGCTGTAAGCTCCTCAAGTGCCTCATTCTCGGGTCTAGGGTTGTTGTCACCCGCTGCGATAAACAATTTGTTGAAACGTACATCGGCGGAGTTTTCGGCTCTGTGAGTCTCGACATACTGTTCTCGAAGCTCGGATGATTTCCTCAAGCTAGGGGCGGGCCAATCAATTCCATTCTCTGCGTACATGGAATCACAATAGGTGTACAGATCGTTGGTCCACGCGTTGAGTTCCAAGTTGCGTGCCAAATCATCTGGAACCCATCCGTCGCGGATATAGAACCACGCTCTAGCCGAAGCGCGCTGCAGCATCAAGCGACATTGCTGCTCGTAGTAGGCGGCTTGTTCCTTGAGGTTACCGATTCGCAAGTAAGCAGGACCAAACAGCGGGTCGGCAGCATCCCTGATCCATTGGCACAAGAGGGTGGTCATGACTAGTTCCATTCCGGGGTCGTCAAACCTTCGAGATGGGCGGTGATGACCATGCTGGTAACCAGCGCTCAAGATGCCTTCGCCTGGGAAGAAACTTTTCCGAACGAAGCAATCATGAAGAAGGCCAAGCAATTCATAGATTGTCACCTCGTACATGTTGCAACCATCCTGCCACACAAAGTCGAGGTCCTCGATGTGGGGAATCCACTCAAAATAACGAGCATACAACATCTTGTTCACATGACTGTACCCCAGGATATAGCCTGCATGGCATTCCGAGGCGTCCCGGTTAATGATGGGCAGGATGTTGAACACCAGCTGAGGATCATCGCCGACATTGAAAGGAGCCAGCACCTCGTGATCGAAGAGTTCTTCATAGGAACGTATGGTACATTCGGTCCCATCGAAAATGTACATACTGTTCTTTCGGACGTGCTCGTCTCGGTCACGCTCGTTGCTAAGGAGATAGAGGTGATAGTCGAGGATGTTCCAACCGGGCCGAAGCACGAGGCCGGGAACAGGTCTCTCTTTCAGATCGGACACGACAGACTCCTCAGATCCCTCAGACTCAGTATCAAGGCGTTCAATGAGTTCTTCTGTCTCTGGGACGTTCGAGAGGCTTTCTTCTGACAGATTCACCAGGGTCACTTTGAAGCCTTCACCATCGGGGCTCAAGGGCGTCTTCGGTGAGTCCTCAGGGGACGTGTCTTCTTCAGACCATGACTTCCTTCTAGCCATCTGCCAATGCTTCATCGTGAAGATTGGCGACCTGTCCTCTCTCAGTCGAGAGGCCACCGGAATATCAGCCATCGACTGCTATCGCGGCTGGTCAGCACTGACCTGTATAATAGAAGGGAAACACAGGAAACAAACGCCCATGGCGTGGCCGATAAGAACAACACTTACGAGTTTCACTGTTGTGAGATGCTTCAATGGCTTCGATGAGCTGACGAGAAGAGAAAAGAGACAAGGGAGGCTTGTGAAGCACACTGAATATAAGAGCCTTGGTGGACCGCGACGAGGACAAGGGGGATGAGGCTTGGAGGCGTGTTGAGGATGGAGAGGTAAAGGAGGGGGAAGAAGAGAGAGAAGTTAAGAGTAGTCACGAAGTAAGAATCTCTCACACTGCATCAGGAGAAGTGAGAGGATGTGGATCTTCTCCAAGACGTCTGTAAAGATTCACTCACATCTGTTAACAGAGATACGAGTACTAACAAAGATATCAAGGAGGACATGAAAGTTCAGTTTCAAGCTAAACATCAACTACAAAGTAAAGGATCATCTACGATAGTCAGTGTGTGAGGATATTCATTTCAGCCTGCTTCTCTACTCTCTGTATAGAGTGGTCGAAAGGCGATAGACCCGCGTGAGGTTCTCCGGTTCAGTGATCCTGCGCTGCAATCTCCCCAACCGTGTTTTTACAACGAGATCCATGCGGCAGAGGGGAGGCCGCATGGCCAACCGCAAGATGAAAGAAACACAGGGACGACATCATGGTTATTTGGGGAATCCGAGCACAGAGGGGTAGTGAATGCTAGTAGTGTTGCAGTTGGCTCAGCTGTGATCTCCACTGTTACATAGCAACAGTACAAACAGCTCAGAAAGTGCCCCTACACCACTAGTTTCTATTTCCTTTCTCTCTATAAAGCCAACCCAAGGGGTAGTCTATGAGACAAATGTTAGCTGAGTTTGCCCATATAACAGCCGGATATCCATCTCTCTGTGTTCCTATGTACTACCAATGAGACCCCTCTCATCATGGAAGACAGTGTACGTCACATACGGCTATGCCTGTCAATCTGATAAGGACCTGGGAGAGAAAAGTCTACAGGTTCTGTCATGTGCCTTCTATCCAACTTCAACTTCCATCTACCCACCTGGCAAGGGAGAAGTTGGTCCTAGTCAGGAAGTTCCAGTTCTCACTGGCGAGGACGTGGTTGCGTGGCCAATAGATTCCGTCGTGTGTCTGTCCAGTGCGAGCTCATGGCATGGAAAAGATGAGGGTTTACGTCTTGTCGTCGCAACGCCCGACATCGTCCCGCCTCCATCTTGCAAAAGTAGCGTGGTCGATAGACTGTTCGCTTAGCATGAAGCTTCCAGATCTGCTCCCGTAGGGTGAGTTGATGAGGAAGAGGGTAGTTGAGGACTGGAACAAGCGACTAAGGTCAGTACAACTGTACTATTTAACCAAGCCATCGACAGTGACAGCGCTTTTGCTCACTACAACTGAGCAGCTCCAACGAATCGCCGCCTGGAATAGGCATACATAGACGTTCAGATGCAGCAGCACACTGGCATGGAGAAATGCCCGTGAAGATGCCCCGGTACAATATTTGCTATATTTTCGTCATGCCGACAGGTTCGTCAAGGCCCCTGGGCTTTGGTTTGTCTTCGATACTCCACACATCTATCAGAGCTCGACCTTCCGCGCCGGTCCAGATTACATGATTCTTCACGATATGTGTATCCTTGATGATTCTCATTCTCCGTGGCTTGAAACTAATTCCCCACGTCACGCTAAGGTATTTCCATCAGATAAATCCATCCGAATCGTGATGCACTTCTGTTGATCTAAGCTAAGATGATAACAACTGCGTGGCCAGACGATGCGACAAGACAGGAAAGATAATATGCAAAGGTAATAGTGAGAATAAACATTCACACCGCATGCTAAATGCTCAACGCCAACTGTGTTGTGTATGTTGTGTGCGTATGTGGTATCATCTACGCGTCCTGGCTGGCAAAACAATGCGCAAGACACCGGGATATGGAGCGGCCAGCCAAAGACAATCCCATGGCCGTGCAACAGTGGGAAGTACCGAATTCTAACGCCAGGTCAGAAGACGAACAAATTGCGAGGCTAGTCGAAACAAGTGAGAGGGGACGGGCCTCCTCTAGCTCAGCTAGAGGCCTGCTGTTGTTGGCCCCAGTGACCCCCGGAAAGGGCCTCCGGCGGGATTCTTTGCTGCTTGATGAACAGGTCGATCAATGGCTGCATAGGCTCCATTTCCTTGTCGGATACCAGCTTGTAGTATTTCGCCACGGTGACGAAGTGGACGAAGCACATGTTCAGGATGTCGTGCTTGTTGATGTGCCAGAAAGGGTTCAACCAGTGGGCATGGTAGAGATGAGCATAGCAGCGGAACATCTGCTTCATAATGCCCTGGCAATCCTTGTAAAATGTCTGCGGGAAGCCGCTGGACTTGCCGATCCATTCCTCTCCAGCAGTAGCGCTAGCGCCTCCAACTTCGTTGATCGCAAATGTCTCCGGCATGCCCGCAAATTTCTCCGTGGGGAACATGACGGGGTCATGGATCTTGCTGACGATCCATTTCTCCACGCGGTTGATGAACTTGGGAGCCGAGATCTTAGCTGCACGGCCATCGACAAGCCATGTGTATGTCAATCTGTTGAACGAGATGCCAGTCAGATAAGACCTGGGTGATATTGTCACGAGTCGCGTTCTACTTACCGACCAGCGGACATGGTGGGGCAAGTGTTCTCATTGCAGATCGGGAGTCCCGTGAGGCTGTTGACCTCCTGAATGACCTGGAGCATACCGTGGAGCAGGCGATATTGTTCAACAACTATTTGATTTACCATCAGCATCATACCATGCAAGAAAAAGAGACAGCGCTAGCTGGTCCGCTTACTCTGATGAGCCAGCCATTCGCCCAACTCCACGTTTTTGGGGCAGGCACACAACGTCAAAAAGTTGCCCTTCACATTCAAGGGCGCATATTTCTCCTGGAAAAAGTACTTGGGAGCATCGGGGTCGTAGGCGGAAGAGGTGTCAACCGAGAAGCTCGAAGTGAGCGACGGGGAGTTGGGCACATGGCCGGCGGGAGGGCCCTGAGGCGTCGGGGACGGAGCAGGACTTCCATTATTCATCTTCGGGGCGTTGTTGTTGTTGTTCTTGTTATTGCCTCCTCTGCCAAAGCCTTGGCGACTATACACCATATCGAATCGCGGGTCAGTGTCCATTGCTTTAACTATTCAAGTGGAATAATAAAAAGAAAAAGAAAACCCGAGGAATATGGAATCAAAAGAGGAAGCGCATGGCGTGGCCTCTTGATAAGCAAGCCAGGGGCGTAATCATTTCGAATGCCTCTGACCATGCTGCAGCAAAGGGAATTTCAGGGGAGAGTGACCGTGCGGGATACATTCTTAGGGGAAGAGGGGGACCACATACACGCTCTGGAAGAAGGTCGCCATGATGGAAAGCGGTGTATGCTCGAGAACACGGGGAAAATGATAGAAATGACGAAGTCTAAAGTGGCAGGCGACGAGTAGAGGCAAGGATGGAAAGAGGAACAAGAAACGAAAGAGCAGCGACGGCAATCCAGAAGAATAAATCACGACTGGAGAAACCCAGACGGAGAAGACAGAGAGAGAGAGACAAGAGAGATGAATGGAGTGAGTGAGTGATTGGGAGGGAGGGGGGCGATTGTTTCAGTTGGGTGAGTCCCTCATTCGGTCCTCATTCGGTCTGGCCCGTCGAGCTGCCGCCCTCCACTAAGCCTACTTGGGCTCGGACGGGATCATTGAGTTGTTCCGCTTCAATTCAGCGGGAGTGCTCCGAGCTGGAACAAGTTACAAGTTACAACGATCAATTGACGGAGTCCGGCATTATTCTCCGTCCCTCGAGTGACTCCTCTTTTACACCAGCTCAGGCTTGCACTCGGAATAGCTTTCCGTTCAAAGACCCGGATTGAAAGTTTTCCAGCCACGCAATTGCAAGATTGCGCTATACACAAGCTCTGACTTGCCAGTGCTCTTCTCACGCGGCAACTGATAGCCGACCCCGGAACCTGGTTTAACACACTTGATTACTACACATCACACCAACATGTCCTCTTCAGATGAAGATGTTGTCCGTCGTCCCGGGCGAGGTGCAGCAGCCGATCGACCGGGAAGCCCGTCGGGAAGCGAGCTCGGCTCAGATGCGGGCAATGTGAACAATTACGACGACGCAGATCTGTTCGGCTCAGATGCTTCAGATGGAGGTTTCGGAGATGACAATGAGTATGCGAAAATGCCCGCGCTTGACCGGGTCATGACATGAACGCTAACACAGCACTAGACAACCCCAACGTACACTCGACGACGAGGAGCTCGACTCGGGAGATGATGTGGACCGCTACGACCGCGCTGGAGAGCGCATGGACTACGAAGATGGTGGCGAAGAACAGTTCCAGGAAACTGTGAACATCATGGATATGACGCTGAGTCGCGCGCCGGAACCTTTGACTTCCAACGGCGAGGTATGCAAGATGATTCTACCACGTCACAGAAACGGAAGGCTCACTCGCCTGTTTTACTATCTAGATTTACACAATGCCCGTCCCCCCTTTCCTCTCGGTGGAGACCGAAGAGTTCAACCCGGAAACCTATGTTGCGCCTCCCTTCACGACCGCCGCTACCTCTCTGTGCTGGAGACACGACCCCCAGGACGAATCCCTCCTTCAATCGAATGCTCGCATCATCCGCTGGGAGGATGGGTCCATGACGCTCCAGCTTGCTTCGGCGCCGAAGGAGCAGTACCGCATCTCCACGAAACCCCTGGCGCCGCTCAACAAAGCCGGCGAGTACGATGTCAAGCTGGATTCGCACGTCTACCTGGGTGCTGCCGCAGAGGCTTCCTCCGTCTTCCGGCTCACCTCCCACCTCACCCACGGCCTCACCGTATACCCCACGACAATGGAAACGGATGATGCGGTGCAGCGTCTCCAGGAGTCGCTGGCTGCGGCCGC